TTTTTTTTGTAGCAGATTTGCCCAGTGCAATACTATGTCTGATTTCTTGGCTGCTCCTTCCATGGGTGTTGACTGTGGATTCAAGTAAAATGAAATCTTTGACAATTTCAATCTTTTCTCCATTTATCATGATGTTGCTTATTGGTCCAGGTGTGAGGGTTTTCACTTGTTTTATGTTGTAGTGTAATCCATACTGAAAACTGTAGTCTTTGATCTTCATCAGTAAGTCATCTTCACTTTCAGCAAGCAAAGTTGTGTCATTTCCATATTGCAGGTTGTGGATGAGTCTTCCTCTAATCCTGATGCCATGTTCTTCTTCATATAATCCAGCTTCTCAGATTGTTTCCTCAGCATACAGATTAAGTAAGTATGGTGAAATGATAGAACCCTGGTGCATACCCTTCCTGATTTTAAACCATGCAGTATCCCCTTGTTCTGTTTGAATGACAGCCTCATGAGCACAATTAAGTGTTCTGGAATTCCCATTCTACACAATATTATCCATAATACCTTATGATTCACACAGTCAGATGCATTTGTATAGTCAATAAAACATAGGTAAACATTGTTCTGGTATTCTTTGCTTTCAGCTAAGATCCATCTGACACCAGCAATGACATTCCTTGTTCCATGTCCTCTTCTGAATCCAGGTTTCATTTCTATAAGTTCCCTGTCAATATACCATTTTTTATTATCTTTAGCAGAATTTTACTCGCATGTGATATTAATGATTTTTCATTCCGTAAATGCCTCCACTCGTTCATCAGTTTGTCATACTCTGGCGGCTTGCATGTTGCTGTGAGACTGGAGGCTATGCCATTGATATTTCAAATAGCAGCAGGGTCACCCATGGTGGACAGGTTTCGCCTGTTTCACCTCTGTTTCAGCAGAGCTTTGTTACTAAGACAGACTGGGAAGAAAGACAGGGCCATCCACTTCTGAAAATATTGGCCTCTAAAAACCTTGTGAATAGCAGTATGTTCAACCTTAGTATACAGGTAATTTCAAAGTTACTAATACATACTGCTTTGAGAAACAAAATTACCAATGAAAGCAGTGTTTCTGTACAGTTCTTTTTGTATTTAGCCTTATAGTTTCCAGTAAAACACATTTTCCAAAGTTCTTCAGATCAGCCTCCTTTTTTCTCTACCAGTGTCAATGAGATAATGACATACATTTCTAATACAATTAGATTCAGCTGTGACACTCTGCTTTCCACTCTAGTATTCACAAACATTCTAAATGAATTTTTAAATTTATGGATAAAATAGTTCTCTCTTTATGATGTTTAAATCTATGGGTTGTAAATGCCTACAGTCATGTAAACAGCAAGATAGTACCATACAAAACAGGTCCATCAACTTAAAATTGTTGTGCAGCACGTTGGCAGTCAACCCCTCCTGTTTCTCTCACTCCTTCTGACCACTGAACTGCCCAAGACATTGGACCAAGCAAAAAACCAAACTCACTGCCCTTCAGTCGATTTCAACTCATAGTGACCCCTCCTTGGGTTTCTGAAGTAGTATCACTATGGAAGTAGATTGCCTAGTCTTCCTTCTGAGGAGTGGCTGGTGGGTTTGAACTACTAGCCTTCTGGTTAGTAGTCAAATGCCTTAGGCACTTGCCAAGACCCCTATTTAATTTCTGCTCTCTCTCTCTTTTTTTTTTTTAAATATCTACTTGCTTATAATCATTCCTGTGATTGTTTTTATACACCCCTTGCCTAAGACATCAACAACTATAGCTTTCAGTTTGGATTATACCTCAACATAAAGAAAACACAAATTTTCACAACTGGGCCAATAATCAATATCATGATAACTGAAGAAAAGATTGAAGTTGTCAAGGATTTCATTTTACTTGGATTCACAATCAACACTCATAGAAGCAGCAGTCAAGAAATTTAACATGTCACACTAAGCAAATCAGCTGCAAAAGACCTCTAAAGTGTTAAAAACAATAATGTCACCTTGAGGACTAAGGTGCGACTCATGCAAGCTATGGTATTTGCAATCATCTCACATGGATGCAAAAGCTGAAGAATGATTAAGGAAGACTGAAGACGAACTGATGCCATTGAATTATAATGTTAGTGAAAAATGTTGAATATACCATGGGCTGCCAGAAGAATGACCAAATCTGTCTTGGAAGAAGTACAGCCAAAATACTCTTTCATGCATAGGTAAGATTTCATCTCTCAGATTTTGGACATGTTACCAGGAAGGACCATCCCTGGAGAAGGCCATTGTTCTTGCTAAAGTACAGAGTCAGTAAAAAAGAAGAATATGTTTAGCAAGATGGACTGACATAGGGGCTGCAACAATGGGCTCAAACATAGCAATGATTGTGAGGATGGTTCATGTCTTGGCAGTGTTTCCTGCTGTTGTCCTTCAGGTCACTGGGTATCAGAACCAACTCCATGGCACCTAACAACAACAGCAG